TATGACAGAATAATGACAGTTTTGGAAGAACTGATTTATTTTGGATAATGTGAAGATATCACATGTCAACCAAGAAATTGTACAATGGGCAGCTTATTTCACATAGTGCAGCTTGTGATAAAAGCATAAATTGCTGTTTTGTGTCAAACCTCAAACCAGGTCATAGCAGGAAATCTCAGTTCTCCAGACACTTAAGTCCCTTGTTCAACAATTGGCCAAGCTTGGAAGAAGACTTTCAGACATGATTCACTTAGATGAGGAATTATTTCAGGCAAGAATGCAGGCTTGTGTTTAATAGATGATATGCACTTTGCACTAGAAATAAGTCAATGTCTTTATGTAGTTCTATGCTTAAATTTCAGGTTTTTTCCTCCTCCTTTTCTGTCTCAACAGATATTTGGCTTTTCTCTTGGTTTAACTGACCACTTCCTTATAAGGAATTAGGCAGGTAGAATCTGGGAAGAAGAAAGAGGGAGTTAACAGATGAGGGAAGTATCATCTGGACAGCTGGACAAAATAAAGAGAATGCAAGAAAAACAAAACAAAAGAAAGACACTGATAATTTTATTTATTTATTTATTTATTTATTTATTTATTTATTTATTTATTTATTTATTTATTTATTTATTTGGTTGGTTGGTTGGTTGGTTGGTTGGTTGGTTGGTTGGTTGGTTGGTTGGTTGATTGTTGTATAAAGCCACATCTAACAATAGTGTCATGTGTTCATCACATATTTATTCCCCTCCTCCCCCAAAATATGCCTTTTGTTTTGTTTTTGCAATACATACATACATACATACATACATACAGTGAGCTGTTGGACAGCATTACTTGGTCTGTTGTGTGGATGTTTGGGTCGTTTAGGGGCAGGGAATTTGTGGTAAGTGGGGGTGTGTTTAGGGATTATTATGTGTGTTGGACCTGGTCTTTGGGTGTTAAGTGAATTTCGTTGTATGGGTATACTGCAGTGGTGAAATCCAAATTTTTTTACTACCAGTTCTGTGGGTGTGACTTGGTGGACGTGGTGTGGCTTGGTGGGTGTGTCAGGGGAAGGGTACTGCAAAAACTCCTTTCCCACCACACTCCAGGGGAAGGATACTGCAAAATCTCCATTCCCTCCCCACTCCTGGGGGAAGGATATTGCAAAAGCTCCATTCCCACCCCACTCTGGGCCAACTAGAGGTGGTATTTCCCGGTTCTCCGAACTACTCAAGATTTCCTCTACTGGTTCTCCAAACTGCTCAAAATTTCCACTACCGGTTCTCCAGAACCTGTTAGAACCTGCTGGATTTCACCCCTGGTATACTGTGTATATACATACAATGACAATAAAGTTATTATTATTATATTATAAAACAACTCTTTTGTTGGAAAACTGAAGTTAACCCCAGTTACTGTGATGGAATGTGTTTATGAAGATGAAGGTGATGTGATGGACTACAGTAATGCAGCATGTTTCCAGAAGTGAGGGAGCATACTCTGGGGTAGGGGTGAGGCAGCAAGTCTACAGCTGGATTTTAGGAAGAGGAAGAGATTGGTTGATGTCACACCTAGTCCAAGAACAACCTGAAACAATCCAGCCAGAATTCTTTATTTGCATATACCAAGAAACTTGCCAGATTAAATCTATACTTCCCTAACTTAATTGATATACCCTGAGAGATTCCAGAGAGTGGCTATCCTAAATCTCTTCCTTTTCAAATTTCATTATTTCAGATTAAAGAGCAAATTCTCAAGGTTTAGTAAAACATTTGAAGTGAATTAGGTCTATCCCGGTTTCAGAGACATTGTGGATTTTGCTAGTTGGGACAACTTGTTTGTACTGAGAAGAAATTAGTTATTACTTCTTTTACATCAGGGGTGAAATGCTCCCGGTTCGGACCGGATTGCCCAATCCAGTAGCGATGGCGGCAGGTGGTTCGGAGAACCGGTAGCAAAAATCCCTGCATCTCCCCACCATACCCTCTGGAATCAGCTGCCCCCAGAGATAAGGAGAATCCAAGACCTCGGTGCCTTCCGCCGTGCCCTTAAAACCTTTTTTTTCCAGCAAGCCAGGCTGGCCTAATTTTTTAGGTGTATTTAATTGTTTTGTTTATCATTTTTAATTAATGGGGCCAAATTCATATATATATATTTAATTGTATTTTAATATTTGTACTTGATGTTTTTACTTGGCTGTTCACCGCCCTGAGTCCTCAGGGAGAAGGGCGGTATACAAATTCAAAATAAAATAAAATAAAAAAATAAAATGCTCAGCTGAGTTGCACGATCATCTTTTTTTTTTACTTTTAAAAGCATTTTTTCTACCACCTCTTCCAATGAAAAAATGCTTTTAAAAGTAAAAAAAAAAAAGCCTCTGATGATCGCGTGGCTCAGCTGGGATCCTCAGAGGCTTTTCAAAGCATTTTTTTCTGCAACCTCTTGGCTGAAGAGGTGGTAAAAAAAATGCTTTGAAAAGTCTCTGACGACCCCAGCTGAGTTGCCTGATCGCCAGAGGCTTTTCAAAGCTTTGAAAAGTTTTTTTTTAAAAAAGTTGGCCATGCCCACTCAGTCACATTACCCCACCACCACCAAGCCATGCCCACAGAACCGGTAGTAACACATTTTACATTTCACCCCTGTTTTACATTCACCTGTTCTGTCTTCTCTGTCTTTCATCACTTTTTCTTCTAGTTCATTAATGCTGATAAAAAGTTACTGAAGTGTTAATTTAGGAATGCCCCAGGAATTTTTGACCTTTTTGGCAATGAAACAGCAGGTTATAATAATGATGATGTAGTAGTTATATTTAGATTTATAATGGCTTTGATCTGTAGATGTGCCAGAAGATAGAAGGTGACATTCCAGCCTCTTCATCCTCTGGCAAACCTATCTACATCAGCTCCTCCCAAAACCCTCTCTTGAGGGTCAGGAAATTACCATGACTGGTGTGAGCAGGAGACTTGCTAAAAACAAGACAAGGGAAACTTTATCAGTAGAAAGTATAACATTGATTTTAAGTTTCATGTAATATTTTGTGTACCATTGAAAGGGAAAACTTATGGAGAACTACAAGCCAAAATTGTCTTTGGGTTCTTGGAATTCATTGCACACTTCTGTCTAAATCAGTTTGCTTTTTTGGGAGGAACAAATGAGTCTATTTTCACCAAAAGACCACTTCTTTTTAGTAGCTAAGGTCCAAAGTGGCAAGTTTTAAAACAAAATTTTATTTTCTTAACCTTTCACATAAACTATGCAGATTTTTCTTTGCAGAAAATGTAATAATGTTCTAGATCTATAGATGTGAACATAAATGCATATGACCTTCAGTGTGTCTAAGTATAAAGGCTTTTATTTGATACAGATTAGTTCTTAAATTACCTTAAATATCCAGGGTAATATCCATTTATACGTATATTTAGTCTGTCTGTCTTTCTCTCTTAACCCCTTTTCTTTGGCTGCCTTCTGGAATTTATATTCCACTATCCTGCATAGACAAGAAGGTGGAATATAAATTAAAATCTTCCTCATTGTATTATATCATCACCTCTTTGCTGATTTTATGGCGAGAACAGGATATTCTGTTCTTGGAAAATGAAGTAGAGATCAAACAACTGCATATATGCAGAATATTTGAGATTGGTGGTACAGAAACCTAAAAAAGGATGTAAGCCTCTCAAAATTACTGTTACAGAGTTCTAAGTGGATATATAGCTCTTTCTGCCTTCCAAGAACCTTGTCAGCTTCATCTCAATTACATTGATTCCTGACATCAATTTATCTAAGTATGTTTTCGTCTCTGCTTTATATATCACTATTATTTGGAATTATGTTACAAAATTAGACTTGAACCTATCCTATCAGCACAAAATAGTGCATAATTCTTAGGCTTAAAAGCTCATGAAAGTAGTATTAGCCTCCCCAAATCAAATTTAGACTACCTTGGATTGTTTTTATGTATTCATATTTATGAATTTGAAAATTTCCACTTTTATCTTAAACTAGATCAACCTTTACCTTAAGCTACAGTGACAATAACCATGCCCTTGAGAATTACTCCAGAAAATAATTGAAATAAGGAATCCATTTTTTAATAGTTTAATATTGCTATTATAATAGATACCACAGTGGATTTCAACTGATCTGCAAACTGTTTAACCAGTTGATTTTGCCTTTGTGACTGCTTTTTGCTGGGAAGTTGCTATTATGCAACTCTATAAACAAGCAGTATTAGATATTTAGCTTTCAAAACAATTGTATTCATAGGTTACTGTAAATTGGACATAATTAAGTTTGTGCCTATAAAATATTCTTTTATGGCAACAATGTTTTAAACATTATTCATTTCACATTTTGAATTTTATAATAGCTGGTCCAAATAAAGCCAGTTCTATATTTTACATTATTTTAAATACATTGTAAATGAACAGTCCATACAGTGTTCTTTGTTACAGAGTCTTAGTGTCAGCTTTCTTGGAATATTTGTTATCACATTATTTTAACAAAGCAATAATTGGACATTACATGTGATTAGATTATGGTTAGCATATCAGAAATCTTAGGCAAAGGGACTTGTTTTTGCTTCTGACTAATAAAGATTTATGCCTTTGAAATACTTGTCAGGGTCAAATTATTGTACAGTACGTTTTTGAACAGAAGCCGATCAGATTGAACACGTTCAACCTTTTTATGAAATAGTTTACCAATCTATTGCCCTCCAGATACGCTGAATTTCAATTCTATACAGTAATCCCCTGAGAAGAGAGTGAATGACTGGATTAACCTAGAATTATTGGAGTTGAATTTTACCACATCTGAGGGTAACAGGTTGGGCGACAGTAATTTTTCAGGATATGTTCCCAGTTTGAGGAATTCTCATATATTTTATTTCTAACAGTATTATATTCCTGCTGCTATAATTTTGATAATGAAATGGAAAATAATATGTAAAGAGAACAGAGGTATGAAAAAACTTTGGCTACTGGAAAATATTCTGACTGAAGGTCTTCCTGTTTTAACAGAAGCCAGAGGTGTGTGCTGAATAGTTCCCTAAATGGAGGAAGAACATACATCACTAACAGTTGCTAGAAGCTCCAGATTAAATTGTGGAACCTTATCATCAGCCTTTGAGGTAGGCCAGATTAGGAAACAGACATTGCAAGGACTACTGAAACTCTATATTGGTATAGCACATAAAAACAGAATCACGAAAGCCTGCCAGAGTTTCTCTCTTTCCCCTTTTAAACTAGACATGATCAAGCTGGAATCACTTTGAGTCTCTGTCTTTTTCACTCCCATCTTTCCCAAGCAGAGATATCATTTATTGTTTTTTTGTTTGTTTCTTCTGTTAATGGTTCTTGCATACAAATACTCCGGCTTTTTATACATATATTCATACCAGTGGTGAAATCTAAAATTTGTTACTAACGGTTCTGTGGGTGTGGCTTGGTGTGGGGGGAGTAATGTGATTGGGTGGGCCTGGCCAATTTTTTTTTAACTTTTAAAACCATTTTTTCTACAACCTCTTCAGCAAAGAGGTTGTAAAAAAAAATGCTTTCAAAAGGCTCTGATGATCCCAGCTGAGTTGCCTGATCGGCAGAGGCTTTTTAAAAAAGCTTCTGCTGATCAGGCAACTCAGCTTGGATTGTCAGAGGCATTTAAAAGAAAAAAAGGGTTTTTTTCTTTTAAATGCCTCTGACGATCCAAGCTGAGTTTTTTAAAAAGCCTCTGCTGATCAGGCAACTCAGCTTGGATTGTCAGAGGCATTTAAAAGAAAAAAAGGGTTTTTTTCTTTTAAATGCCTCTGACGATCCAAGCTGAGTTTTTTAAAAAGCCTCTGCCGATCAGGCAACTCAGCTTGGATCGTCAGAGGCATTTAAAAGAAAAAAAGGTTTTTTTTCTTTTAAAAGCCTTTGACGATCCCAGCTGAGCCGTGCAATCATCAGAGGCTTTTTTTTTTACTTTTAAAAGCATTTTTTTGGCCGAAGAGATTGTAGAAAAAATGCTTTTAAAAGTAAAAAAAAAAAAAAAGCCTCTGATGATTGTGGGGCAGGGATTTTTGCTACCGGTTCTCTGAACCAACCGCCTCCATTGCTACCGGATCAGGCAATCCGGTCCGAACCGGGAGCTTTTCACCCTGATTCATACTATACTGATATATTGTTCTTAAAAATGCATGCAAATTCAATATTAAAAAACTTTAAGGTTAGATTATTCCGATTACCATATGTGCTCTTTAGCAAATTACCATATAAAGACTTGGTTCCATTTCACATGCTATTATGGCTTCATGGCCAAGACTCACAAATGTATGATCTCAAACAGAAATGCCTGTTAGAATTTGATAACTAGTTATAAACTGAGAAGATGTGCAATACATATATGGCTGTAAATAAACTGCTTCAGATGTGGAAGAACTGTTCCTATAAAATGATTGTGAATGTTGTGGAAATGCTTGATATTTATTACACTAATTAGAATTTTGGGACAGGATTGCATCATAAATTGTGCATCCAGGAGGCTTCCCCCTAGATACATCTCTCCCAATCCACTGTTGGTCTGAAAGAGCAAGGCAAACTAGGTAAATGTATCCTGACATATAAATTATAGTGTACACTAAGTTTTGATAATCTTTGTGGAGCGGAATATGATGTTATTTCTATATTGTGATTTCCCAAAGTTTACACTTACATTAAAGATGTATTCATTACTGAATTAGTATTTGGGGTAGTAGTAGGTGAAATATATGTTTATGGATGGATGGATGACAGCTGCCTCAAATAAATCAGCCAGGCTACTGATATCACAAGCTGAGTATTTTAGTTTTAGTTTCATACATTGGAACTGTTAGAAATGATTTTCTAAGATCTCACTTAAAGTAAAAATCTTTAGTAAACTATAGGCTTGAGAAAAATATCGAACCAATTAATGTTTATACGCACATAAAATAATTTCTAAGATGAAAAGGAGATTCTTGTTTTAAAGGCTAAACTGTGGAATGATTAATTGTATGGTAGCATGAGAAAATAATTCAGTTTCTTATAGGTACTTCTGCATATATGTTGGGATGATGGGGTAGGATGATGGGTTTTCCAGGAAGCCTATGAGGTTAGTTTGAACTAATTTGGAGACACAAAGCCAGATCCTGAGTGGAAAATGTTTACTTTTTTGAATTAGGAATGCAAATGACATTTTAAATCAGGGTGCCCATAGTATTAGTCTTACCTATAATATACCCAGTCTTATTTTTGCACTGGCTTTTACCTCTAGGTTTTGGGTTGAGTAAATGATTTTTTTTAAACATGAATAGGTAAACTTTCTGGAGGTTGCGCCTTAAGAACCACTATTCCTACTGAGCTAGTTCTGTAAAATAACCCCATAGTTCATCAGCAAATTTAACTTTACAAAAATCAAAAGAATATATATTAAAAGGCTGTAAATTATACAGATTATACTGAAGTCTGGTGCCCAACTAAATGAAGTGGAAAGATTTTCAGGTGAAAAAAAAAGACTTCAAATACATTAAATGGGTTTTGTTTAGTATTTGGGAAAGAAAGCACTACTCTGACTTGAGCACAAAAAGATAAGAGCCTTGACTTGCAATAGATTAAAAGACATGCGTTGGTTAGAACAAACGGTGTTTGAGACTCTCTCCAAGTGCCGCCAAGTTTAGATTTAAGATTAACAGCAGCAGAATGCTGGAGCGGCTGTTTGTTCTATAGAACAATCACTAATGACATTAAACAGACCGAGGCTTTTTCAACACAATTGTTCAATTGTGATAAACTGATATAAGCCTACAAGAGATTGGAAAAGAAAACTTTTTTAAGTGCTCATATTGAAACTCCTACAATGTCCTCCTGGAGGTGACAATTAGTAGAATTGAGTAAGAGGCTTCCTTCCATGCATTTATTGTTACTGAATATTGGGCAAATAAATGCCAAATATACTCTGTAACTATACAATTTCCTGCATGTTTTTATCCTCTGTCTCTTTTTTTTCTGGGCAAAGGAATCCTGCACTAGGCATTCATAGCGTAGCTTAAAAGACTGTTATCTCTTAGTTCAATTAGACATCAGACATTTACTTTTTGATGCATTGGGAGGCTGATATGGTTTGGGACCACTCATTTAAATATAAGAGAGCAGAGCTGCATATAGAACTGTGTACAGATATCTCTAGCTCTGAAGTCTTAATTGCAAATTCAGATAAAGATTAGAAGGACTGTATCTCTATAGACCAAAAGTATTTGCTAATACCTGAGATATAAACGTGGTTAAATTCAATATTTACTAATTTAGAATTTTGATTAAGCTTTAACGTATGTGTGTAAGTGCGCATGTTAGTAAAATTCTGTACTGTTAAGCAGGCATGCCAAAGCCATCTTATATACATTATAGAACTTAATAAAACATAGTCCCTGTTCCCACCACTGTCTTGGCTTCTTTATGGTGATATTAAGTTTTTGTTTATATACATAAATATATTAATGAAAGTATTTTAAGTGCTTATTACAGAGATGGTTTGTTTTGAAACACAGGCTTTTTCATAGCAGTTTTACACTTCATTGTGTACTATGAAAGACATACTAAGTAGAGGTTGTCAATTTTCCATCTGAAGTAGACAACTGCTGAGGAATGGACCCATTTATGATGCCATTCAAGCAGGACTAATCTAGAGCAGATATCGTATACATAACTGTTAACTTGTACACATACACTCCTCTAAATGATGTTTTCCCTGTCAAAACAAAGAAAAATTACTGTTTCAAAAATGAATTCTTTATATACTAATGTTTATATTTAAAGAGCTTAGGAAATGAAGAAATATCTCATAAAATTCTCCAAACACAAGAATGTTCAGGCCATTTTTAAAAAAAATAGTTTTATTTTTGAACATTTGCCACAGGTATAATTTCTATCACAGTGTCCAGTTTCTTTTCTTTGTGTTTAATCATGTGTGAATGAATTTTTATCTTATAGCAGCCATAGCTGGCAAGTGGGAATAACCAAAGAATTAGAAGTAGAATAGTTTTCATTCTGTTCTTCTCAAATTCTTATACAGTTCAACAGTTAGTCCAATAATCTGAAGAGCCAACCAAACATCTTTTAATGCTCACTCAAAGATCTTCAATTTAACAAATGATGGTGACTCTGTAGTTGCTCTGGAAAATATTGCCTCAGTTTCTACAATGGCAATAAACCCAGATTGCATCCTTACTTCACTCTGATGATCTAAAGATTTAGCACGTGCTTTGGTAGTAATTAGGATAAAATGGCAAAATAGTTTCAAACATCAATGCACTAGGTCAGGATCTAAGGGACAACCCCGGACTAAATTAATCAAGGTAGCAGAATCCTTTTCTCCTTTGGTGCAGAGGGGAAAGAATGATGGAGATAATTTTATTTCTTTTAAGGTACTCATTGTATAGCAAAAGGTATATCCTTAAGAAGATATTCAAGTTCAGAAAAGTTAGCACTAGACTCTTCTCTGAGTGCTGTCCAGGGTCCTGAAAAAAGCTGTCTTTGATCAGTGCTACTTTCTACTTCTTGATCTTTTGAGTGGTACAGTCTCAGCTTATAGTGTCTCTTGATTCAACTAACTGCTCCAAGCTACTAATGAACTGCTTCTTCCCAATTAGACTATACTTTTTGAAGACTGGATAAATACACACGGACACACACACACACATGCTAGAGGCCTTTAAAATGTTTACAGATTAAGAAATTCTGTACTTCCCCAATTGAGCATGGAAAGAATTGTGTCACTTTCAAAAACTGAGGTAAAATGTCAAACATTCTCAATGATATATGCTTTTTCCTTCCTGCTGGTGATAGATATGTCCTATATTTTAAACCAACTACTGCAATAATTATTTTATTATTTAAATGCCAAAAAAGAATGGTTTCAGAATGGACTTTCAAAGATTGTAATTAGTTTAGCTCACTAGAGAAGATACTTAGAAAATCGAGGCATATCAGAGAGTACAAGTTGAAAAAATGAGAAAGTTGAGAACAAAATATGAATTACTGTAGGTCAATAATGGAAATATAGTTAATGAGAGAAGAAAGAATTGAGACAAAATACACACAAAGCTGGATATGTATGTCTGATGATTTCATCACTGGCTAT